AACTATTTCTGTTTTTAATAGTCACATTCAAACTATTTCTGTCTTTAATAGTCACATTCAAACTATTTGTTTTTAATAGTCACATTCAAACTTTTTCTGTTTTTAATAGTCACATTCAAACTATTTCTGTTTTTAATAGTCACATTCAACCAATTTCTGTCTGAAATAGTAATATTCCATAAGGTAAACAAGGAGCATCAACACTCAGGATTCCGTTACAGTAGATATTTTACTCAGGATTCCGTTACAGTAGATATTTTATGACGGCAGGCTAGGCCTCAGAACTACTTGTCTTCAGTAGCAAGATATAGAGATTGATCAGTGTAAATAATGAAGAGGACAGAGCAATCCCAACCAATCAGAATGGGAGGACACTATATATTCTCAACCAACTGTCTTTCTCGTGAAATGGAGGGGCATTTCAAAATGAAACATGATAAATGGGACATTTGGTCATTCAATAGATACTGAGCTTGATCTCCTTATGTTCCTGTCTACAACCAACACAGATGTTTATTCTTGTTCCACTTGAATGAAGTTTTATACAAAACCGTCACTCTGTAAGATCTGCTGAATACATGTCCTCCTTGTTTGATAATCTGTTGCTTTCATTCCGTTTTGAAGAATTACACGTTTCGTTATTTGTAAGATCTCTCTCTTACTCTTCAATTTGCTTACCTGTATCTAAAACTAATAGCTTGTATTGTAAGAATTAGGTCAAAGTGTTATTTTCACAAAGACCTGGATGAGTTTGTTTCTTAATTGTATAGCTTTATTCTTTTGAAGGTGGTAAGTGTGAGACATTGTAATTGACCTTTTAGGGGTGAGACGCTGTATGTGTGAGACGCTGTAAGTGACTGTGCAGGGCTGTATGTATCAGAGCAGTAATCCGTGATTGCCTGTTATATAAGTGGAATGTGTGATATTAAATATTTTTGTTTAACATGGTGACACTTTACAGAGCGTCCCAAACCCGCAATGACAGTTTTAGTAGCCATGATATACAACTATTACTATAATTAATTATATTGTCAGTTTTTTGGCTTTGTTTGTACAAAATGGTGAGATATATGCTGGGACACTTTGGACAAGACTACTTTATTAACCTTCAACCCCATCATTTTCAAACCCCTCCTTCATTAAGTTTGTTTAAAGTGCATGTCTGGGATCTAAAATGGGAACTCACATGGTCAATTGGTAATATACTTATGTAAGAATCAGGTCCATTACCAAAACTCGTTGTACATAAAAATTCAGAAATATCAAATAAACTTGATACCTTTATAGAGTTCTATACACTGAAGGTAAAGGGTACCAACAAGCTGAACTGTGTCATGACCATTGACACTACAGTGCAATATTCTTTTAAGACCTTTCCAAAATAAACATTTAAAAAAACCAACATTTCCACGCATTTGACAGAACACTGTTGTCATACATGCACAGTAACAAAATAAGTGTCCAGTGACGTCAAAGCATAGGAAAAACTTGACAGGGGAGGTCACTCTGAGGCCCAAAAACTCTTAATGGTTGCTTCATCTTCTATATAGAAGGGAGAGCACTCAAGGTTAACCCTTTCATTCTATCCCAACACTGAGTATTTTCCTTTCTTATCTGACCTGTCTCCCTTACCACCTTACTTCAGAGTTGTCTCCCTTACCACCTAACTGCAGAGTTGTCTCCCATTCCACTCAATCCCAAGGCTAGTTTATCCTACAAAAGTGCTTCCACCCTACATCAAGGTTAGTCTACCCTTCCATTAGACTTGAGGGAAATCGCTCTTCCACTTGCATTCTGAGCCAAGAGTATTCTCCCCTTCTTTTATAACTCACGAGCTGTTTCCCTATAAGATCAACACCCGAGATATCATCGTTTCTTCAGGGCTTAAGATTAGTGTCATCCCACTATCAAGTCTGTTTCCCTTGTCATTTTAATTAAGAGTAGCCTCCCCTAACTTTTTTGTTCTAGAATAATCTCCCTTATGCTGTGACAATTCTTTGCCCAACCCCCTAACCTTTCCCCCCAGGTCTACATACTGGGCCTTGTGGGAAGGCGTACATCTTGTTACTCAGTGTCAGCCCTGTCACTCATAGCCCCACAACAGTCGTCCACGCACAAACTCGGGAGCGAATATGCGGCCCACTACAGTCCTCAGACATGGAAGTTTTCACAAATTACAGCTATTTACATAAGCTCCCCGACCAGCTTATGTTGGGAGCTCAATGATTAATACATCATCCCCGCTGGGTCAATTTCCTGCGCGAAACAGAAGTTCTATCACTAGTAGTCACTGCTGATCAGTCATATCACAGTGGGAGAAAATTATCTTCAACAAACTCCGTCCCAAAACATAAAAGCTGCCGCAGAAATCAGAGTTGTAATGAACCGTGTCAGCGTAGAGAATAGCACAATATAGCTGTCCCAGGCTCGGTCTAATAGGAAACACATGCGAATTGTTCCTATAGGTCGTTAAACCAATGATATACACTTGGTGTTTTTGCTGCCTTTTTCAATTTTGCCTTTAATCAATATGGGGCCTGGGTAAGTTTTTGCCAAAGTGTTTCTTGAAGGATCACAAATTTGTTTTTTTTTAATTCGCTGGGTCTTTGAGATAGCTTTATAGGCCCGTTATAACCGGTAGTATCATTCTAGTTTTAACCAAATGCACATTTTTGAAAGCAGATCAAAGAATCGAGCCGGCTAATATCGCCATGTCCCTCTAATTCATTAATTCCCCCAAAAGTAGCCTTGTGATAGTATTGAACTCGGAGACATGGGGAAGTAAACCGCCAACTGATACAGAAAGAAAGAAAAACGCAACATTACCGCTCCCATACTGCCAGTTAATTGACAATTAGTGATTGCTATTTGGTTCCCATGGCCCGGAGATTTAGCTTTTTGTATGTATTGATAGATTTGTGCATCTGGTTTCTGTTATGAAGATCGGGCGATTATTGCAAATTATATAGTAAATTATGTCTGCAGTGAGGGGAAGCTCAGTAAGTGAACTTCAAAATGACTGCAGGCCTAGCCTAGCAACGCAGCATCTCCAAGTGGCTGGGTCTATATAGGGTCCCACACTGTAAACTTGGGCACAAACAAAATGGCAGTCCGCGGATCACCACTCAGCACATCAATAAGTACCCTAGATGTTACAATCAAGCTTACAAAACAAATTATGGCTAGAACAAATAAACATTTCCCCATTTAATTTTAACAGGGTACAAGGTCCATTGAATTGGAAAAAAATATGTTGTAAATAAAATAAATAGATAAATATACAACATTTGATATAGCGTCCTATCTGGCTAACATAAGCCACTCTAAAGCGCTTTACACTACATAGATATACAATTTTATACAGTCAATACAAAAATGCATATATATTAATCAATACAATATTGAAGAATTCGCAGGAGATGCCTTATCAGGCGCTAACTACTAGTCCTATGTCACCTGGCTAATATCTCCCTATGTGTGTATGCCTGTGTTGGTGCTGGAGATGTATTGTGTTCTGTTTATAGTAGGACCGTGCTTCCAACAGTATCATTTATAGTGCAACCTCACTTGAATGCTACAGCACAGATACCGCAACACCCACCCCAGACCATTTAATACTCCACCTGGGTTGTTGGAGTTGTGTGGGCAGGAGAAAAAATACTTTCTCTGAATATTCCATGCGTATGGCGACTTCGGGGATCAAACTCCAGCCACCTGCTTGGAAGGCCAGAGTGTTAACCACTCGACCAATCCACCCATAAATGTGGGTTATTAGGGAAATTAAAAGAGTTGGACTTTCCTGTCCCATCTATAACAACGTACACTATATTGTTTACACATCTCTGAAGTCTCAGGAGAAATTCTAAAGCCAATGTAAGTTATAGTTTGGACAAACATTACAATAATTTCACCTCTGACCTCAACCTCTTTGATAAGGACCTGAATGTATTATGTAACAATGTCTGATTATATGACAGAGATCAGAAGTTATGGTTGATAAAATCATTAAAATGAATTGACCTTTAAACCCTGGTCATGACCATGGCCTTCAGGGTATGAACTCTAAGAGTATTTAGTGACACATTTCTTCTGTTAATGGTGCACATGCCTTGAGGTTTTCACATGTAAAAGCAATTAAGTAGTTCTAGTCCAGAAATGCATTACAATGATTTGACCTTTGATCCCTTGATGATAACCTTGACCTTTAGTCAGTATCCATATCAGTAGCACTCAATCTGTTCATGGCACACATGTGTGTGAGGTTTCATGAAAAAGTACTGCAATTTAGAAGATATATATGGTTCAGACAAAACATTACAATAATTTGACCTTTAACTTCTTACCCTGACCTTGACCTTTGCGGTAAAGACGTGCAACTATTTCATAACACGGCATCTTGTCATGATAAACAGATTTGGTCTAGGCAAGTTTTGCAACGATTTGACCTTAGACTATATACCTTGACCTTGACCAGAATTGAACGGACCTAGGAGTTAAAGGTGTACTTATCATAAACTAAATGATGAAGCACAGTAAATGCCCTTATTTCAGTGTACTCCAATTTTAGTGCGTTTTCATACTTTAACATTCATTGATGTATAAAATAGTTTTTTTTTTATAGATCCTTCAATTAGAGCCAACTTCAAATAGGGCAATCATAATTCAATAAGCTGATGATAAATAAGTGTAATATTCAAAGCGTAAAAGGTGCTAAATAAGACAACTGTTCAAATATGTAGGCTTACAGTACCATAAGGTTTACCAATAAGAAAATATGATTCAGACAGAGTGGTAACAGACATGAGAACGGACGCACTGATGGCTGGACATACTGCCTCCCTTACTGCCTTTATAGTCATTGATTCAAATCAAGTCACTCAGTGGTGACCATTTATTTTTTGATAAAGGGTTACTGTGATCTTGGCCTTGACCTTTAAACCCTGAAATACAAATTCACACCTGTACATGTGAAGATAGAAGAGGGTAAACTTAATACATACCTCTGGTGTGTTTTTCTTGAAATCTCTGCTTTGTTCTACGAGTCTTTTTCGTGAGGCATCACTTTCGTCCTGTCTATTGGCCAATTCAGTGGCTGTTGCATCTAGTTGTTTCTGTGAAAACATCAGGTAGACACCCCTAATTAAACATCTTTATAATATCAATAGCGAAAACATCAACAATAACAAAATATAAAACAATGTCAAAAACTTCAGAAACATGTGGATAATATCAATAGCAAGAAACATTAATGTAATTAGTTTAACAAAGTTCAAAATATCAGTAACATCAAATTCATAAAATATCCTTCTATCCCTGTATATTTTACCAGGGATACAAAGTTTGTATTTACAGAGTTGAAAAGCCCAAATTATTTCTGTATCTCCCATCACCTAATTATATTTGCATCTCCCAGATACTAAGTGTAACTAATTTATTTCCCAGATATACAAAGTGCAACTTATTTATCTCCCAGATATACAAAGTGTAACTTATTTATCTCCCACATATACAAAGTGTAACTTATTTATCTCCCAGATACAAAGTGTAACTTATTTATCTCCCAGATACAGAGTTTAACTTATTTATCTCGCAGATATACCAAGTGTAACTTATTTATCTCCACATATACCAAGTGTAACTTATTTATCTCCTAGATACCAAGTGTAACTTATTTATCTCCACATATACCAAGTGTAACTTATTTATCTCCCAGATACAAAGTTTAACTAATTTATCTTAACAGATACAAAGTGTAACTTATTCATCTCCACAGATACCAAGTGTAACTTATTTATCTCCCAGATACAAAGTGTAACTTATTTATCTCCCAGATACAAAGTGTAACTTGTGTATCTCCGATGTTTTATTATCCTTTAGATGTTGTAATAGTTCTTTTGTATTCTTGAGTTAACATCAGAATTTTTTAAGGCCAGAGGCTATTTTGTTTCCATGACGACATTCAGGAAAGCCTGCTGCCCGTCAGTCGTGCGACAGACAGACAGACAGACACGTCTTCTTTCACAAATCTCTCAAAGCTGATAATCTATAGCTGGGGTATAAAGTTGGGGGGAGTGTGTGGTATGCATTGTGATGAGCTTGAATGCACACCTTTATATATCTATCATTAGGTGTTAGCCGATACACACATCACTGTAGTAGTAATATCATCAGGTATGTTGACAGTGCGTTCCTCTATCACTCCTCAATCCTATCATAACCCCTGATCACATCCCCATCCATACTCACCTCATCATCCATGGACACAGCCCACAACTAATTAAGTTTCAATTTCCATCCCAACCCTTAGAACTCTCTCCTAATCCTCAGTTCTCCTTCCCAGGGGGTCACCCCTTCTCAAACCTTAGCTCTCATTCCCAGGTGGACAGGGCTTTCCCCAACCTTCAGTGTCCCCTCACAAGCAAGACACGCCTCTCCCAAACCCTCAGTGTCCCCTCCCGTGCAAGACATGCCTCTCCCCAACCCTTGGTTTCCCCCTCGCCAGCAGGACACGCCTCTCCCAAACCCTCAGTGTCGCCTCACCAGCAGGACACGCCTCTCCCAAACCCTCGGTGTCTCCTCTAGTGCAAGACAAGCCTCTCCCCAACCCTTGGTTTCCCCCTCACCAGCAGGACACGCCTCTCCCAAACCCTCGGTGTCTCCTCTAGTGCAAGACAAGCCTCTCCCCAACCCTTGGTGTTTCCCCCTCACCAGCAGGACACGCCTCTCCCCAACCCTTGGTGTCCCCTCACCAGCAGGACACGCCTCTCCCCAACCCTTGGTGTCCTCTCACCATCTGGACATGCCTCTCCCCAACCCTTGGTGTCCCCTCATCACCAGCAGGACACGCCTCTCCCCAACCTTTGGTGTCCCCTCACCAGCTGGACATGCCTCTCCCCAACCCTTGGTGTCCTCTCACCAGCTGGACATGCCTCTCCCCAACCCTTGGTGTCCTCTCACCAGCAGGACACGCCTCTCCCCAACCCTCGGTGTCCCTTCCCATGCAGGACACACCTCTCCCCAACCCTTGGTTTTCCCCTCACCAGCAGGACACACCCCTCTTCTGTCCTCCCTCCAAAGAAACACCCCTTTCCTTACAGCAAGTATTCTGTTCAGGTGTAAACAAGATTTTCAATGATATAGAAAACCTGCTACAATTCCAAATCACTTTCTTTAAAAGTCAATACATTATGAGCTACGGTTGACTCTGTATATGATTATAAACAGTTTTCTTATCTCATAAACACATAGTAAATCATTATCACTGGATACAGTAGGAAAGTCTGACTCGATGCATTACTCTCGCCTCATAAAACACAGCAAAAACTCGCCCATCATCACAACAATGGTGTTCACTGTTAACAGAGAGACCAACATATCCGGACAATTCAATCTCGCTCGTTATCTTTTGCAGCACTGTACACATGAAAGACATGACTTAACAAAATCAAATTGCACAAAACAGGAATATAATAGCTATCCTCTCAAATGTTTCATTGACTTTTTAACAACGTTCCCAGAACAGCCTCCCTGTTATCAGATGCTAATAAGATTCAGTTTGATCGCTTTTTTATGCGTATTTACTTTAAGTAATATCACATCAGCAATTCACGGTGATGGAAAAATGATCAGACAGCGCGACAAACTGCTTTGTTGCCCACCGATACCATCTCTGATCGAGTGCATTTAGTCATACAAAACGCGACTAAAATTAACACGGACTTCTCTTCTGATACGTTAGTTTTATATACTGTATGATTATGAAGTATGTAGCAGTAATTGTAGTGGGGTATTACCCGCCTCACTGGGCCGACCCACAATGGTCAAATCACCGTGCCGATTTCTATCTGGGCCTCAATATACTTTAGATATTCGGGTATTGATAAACTCAGTGGCCACGCCACATTAACCACGCCACTGTCTCTTATACACAATATTGGGGTGCACCAACATCCCACTGAATAAAACCATGATATCTTACATCAAAATACCCAACATCATCGTATTAATATGGGGCCCCCAATCAGCTATTCTTCTGGTGATTTACGCTTGCCACCTGTCTTACGGGATAGGTGTGTCCAGTTAGTCGGACATAAATGAATCTGTCTGCACAGATACACCCACATGTACTTGTGAAAATGTAATTAAACATGTTATTTAGGAAAGTGTTTTTTCTTCCTGCACATGTGAAATTGTGAAAATGAATTGTTTACACACATGTACAAATGAAAATGTATCCATCTTGCGTATATGTGTAATGAAGAAATCCTATAACACCCTATACCAAATATACAGTTCCATTTCACACCTCGAGCGAAACCTCCCCACTATACAAACACATTAGACAATTATCAACTAAATTTGATGTAGGGAGCCGCATTACCAATTTACGCACGCCGCACCATTTACTGTTGCATCAGAGAATTATTCACACACATAAAATGGCTGCTTAATTGTGGAGTGTTACAGGCGAGATGGATACGGAATTACCGCCCGTACACTTCAAACACCGACATGATTTTGAAATTGAACTCCTTTTACCATGCAACACTCAAAGGGTACAGTCTCCATAAGATTGTTTAAAACCCTGGTAACCACGGAATCATCAAATACTTCCTCTGTAATACCTAATGCACGTTAGCGTCATTAGTCAACAGCTGTGCCAATACATAAATGAATCTTACGACTGATGCAGCCGAGACACTATCAAACGGACCCTGTGATAAGTATTTTTGATGTTTTATGATCAAATGATGAGTTAGGCTTCAGTGTTATAATGAAACTGATGTGTTTATTTTCTCAGTATTTACAGAAAAGTAATGTGTTGAACAACGAGCTTTGGACACATTCTGTAACGAAGTTAAGGATGTATGCTAGTATCTTAAGCTGTTGAACACTCCTACAAAGGGTGGATAACTCCCATTGGCAAACCTTCAAGTTGTTATGAGAGATGTTAATAAACATATTTACATTCCTACGTTACGATAAAAGCCGGTATGTTGTGCCCACACTGAGATTTTCATATTTATAAGAACTTTTAATTTTTTCCATACTTGACTGTCAAGCACAATGTATTTCTCAAAAAAAATAAATATCAAAAGATGTAAAAGACTTGTAATGAAATTTAGATTTTTGTCAGAGTAACATGAAAACCTTGTGTGAAGTTTGTGTTAATGCTTTCTTTATCGACTATGTAAGCCTGTTAGTGTTACTTTATCGAGTATGTAAGACTGTTAGTGTATCAATACTAATCCCCCCTAGATTCCCCATCAATCCTATACACACACCGACCAGAACATTTAGGATTCACTTCTCAGCAAAATAGTTTAAAGGAAAATCAGCAAAGAATCAATAAACTCAGACAGGGTTGATAAATCACCAGCAATAATACAACAAATCAATTTAGGTATTTCGGAAACGCCTCAAACACAAGTGTTATATGTACACAGAAGGAAAACTTCATTCCCTCTGAGGTACACCAGCACAACATCAACCCAATCACCTCAATACACCACATCAGTCTCCATCAAACAAATCAAACCAAACATTCTTAATTATAACTGCATTTTTAAGTGTTTTTTTTTATATAAACCACAGGTATAGCGTGTAAGGTAGTATGTATCCTTAAGGGAGATAACTCTAACACAAATCACAGGTATAATGTGTAAGGTAGTATGTATCCTTAAGGGAGCTAACTCTAGCACAAATCACAGGTATAACGTGTAGGGTAGTATGTATCCTTAAGGGTGATAACTCCAACACAAATCACAGGTATAGCGTGTAAGGTAGTATGTATCCTTAAGGGAGATAAATCTAACAAACCACAGGTATAATGTGTAAGGTAGTATGTATCCTTAAGGGAGGTAACTCCAACACAAATCACAGGTATAGCGTGTCAGGTAGTATGTATCCTTAAGGGTGATAACTCCAACACAAATCACAGGTATATTGTGTAAGGTAGTATTCCGTCTTTGCGTATTGCAGTTATCTTCTCTTGTGAGCAGGTATTGATTGTAACGTCATTTGTTTGTGTGATAATTTTTTTTCTCTCAAAAGTTGATGACGTTACTCTCACAAACAAATGACATAACAATCAATACCTGCTCTCAAGAGC